TACTAAATGTTATATTACAGGCCTGCCTCACTTAATTTTTTTAATTTTTGTGTTTTATATACATGTACATTTATATTTAATAATTATTGGATTAGGCATTGTTTTTAGTTTACAAAATGATCAAAGAACCCTCTTATCAGACATTCAAAAATTATATTATTTGATTATAAACATACCACTTACAGGGGTTTTCCTTGCTTGATTTGAAGTCTGTTTACCGGACTCATTCCCTATCTAAAAATCAGCCATATTTTCCCAATTTTGAATCTTTTTTCCCAATTATTTATCCATGAAAGAAGTTGAGAGTTCAAAAAGAAATGAAAAATTTGTTTGAATTTTTTCCTTGCAGGACGTCCGTAAATCACGACATGATCAAGATTGATCGTATCATTGAGTTATAAAAATGAATGATGCAACACATCTGTTCAATCACCAACTTTGTTTAGTGATTAGTTATTTAATCACAAAGTTACCCAAATCCTATAGAGAAATTTAAGAAAAAAATAATGTTCTTTGGATGAAAGACTCTGTGCATTTTTATTTCTAGAAACCCTAACTTCACCCTTTACAAGTATGGACGACACATTAGACATTACGATTTCGTCGGTAGGTACATCAATGTAATTCACTTTTTTTCCTGCTTTAGGAATAAAATTGTCTGACGGGTTAGTGTCTTTAAAAGTATATAATTTTTTTTTCAAAAAGCGTCTACTTTTTTGTAGTTTTTACTTGATTAAGATCAAGTGAAGCAATATTTCTTGTCATAAAATCGTCAAGATAAGTATCCCCCCTCACTTCAGCTAATAATCGATATCGGTGTCTGTGGTCCAATCACAATAATTTAAGCTATTTCGCTATATATAAATCAGTCTCTCGTTTTTATTTTTGATACACGTTGATGAAAGAAGTCAGGTTGTCCAGAGATCCGATAGCAAGGAAGAAAAACGGTGACAATAATTTTCCACAAGGATTGAAGATTTCTGTCGATTGGAGTCTTTTCTGGAGGTCATTTCATTGAGATTGAAAGCATTCCTGTATAAGGTCATTTCAAACGAAAAAATACGATGCATGTTTAATAAATATAGTTTTTTAATTTTCAAATTCATTATTGTAAATTTCTTATTTTTCGCGAGTACTTTTTATCGCAAAATGGTTCTTTGAAGTCAAATCGCGAGAATAATCATTCGCGAATGAAGGTTGATTAAGGGAATTTACATGGATTTTAGAACCATAAAAATACAAGAGGCCCAGGGGCCACAGCGCTCACCTGAGCACATCGGGCTTGAATTTAACCCCCCCCCCCATAGGCATTCATCATTTGAACAAGCTAGAATCAACACTACCTAAGGATGATTCCATATAAATATCACTAATCATAGCTTTGAAGTACTTGAAAAGAAGATTTTAAAAGATTCCCCTATATATCCCTATGTAAAATTTGGGTCGGCAATTTTGGCCCCACCCTAGCCCAGGGGGTCATGATTTGAACAAACTTGAATCTACACTACCTGAGGATGATTCCACATGAGTTCCATCTTTCCTGGCCTAGTGGTTCTTGAGAAGAAGATTTTTAAAGATTTTTCCTATATATTTCTATGTAAAACTTTGATCGGCCATTTTGGCCCCACCCTAGCCCCAGGGGTCATGATTTGAACAAATTTGAATCTACACTACATGAGGATGATTCCACATGAGTTTCATCTTTCCTGGCCCAGTGGTTCTTGAGAAGAAGATTTTTAAAGATTTTTTATATATATATTCCTATGTAAAACTTGGGGCGGCCATTTTGGCCCCACCCTAGCCTAGGGGGTCATGATTTGAACAAACTTAAATCTACATTACCTGAGGATAATTCCACATGAGTTCAATCTTTCCTGGCCCAGTGGTTCTTGAGAAGAAGATTTTTAAAGATTTTTCCTATATATTCCTATGTAAAACTTGGGTCGGCCATTTTGGCCCCACCCTAGCCCGAGGGGTCATGATTTGAACAAACTTGAATCTACACTACCTGAGGATGATTCCACATGAGTTCCATCTTTCCTGGCCCAGTGGTTCTTGAGAAGAAGATTTTTTAAGATTTTTCCTATATATTCCTCTGTAAAACTTGGGTCGGCCATTTTGGCCCCACCCTATCCCCGGGGGTCATGATTTGAACAAACTTGAATCTACACTACCTGAGGATGATTCCACATGAGATTCAATTTTCCTGACCCAGGGGTTCTTAAGAAGAAGATTTTTTTAAAAATGCCATTAATTTTTCTCTAATTCATAATTATCTCCCCTTGGAAGAGGGGGTGGCCCTTCATATGAACAAACTTGAATCCCCTTCATCTAAGGATACTTTGTGGCAAGTTTGGTTGAAATTGGCCCAGTGGTTCTTGAGAAGAAGAAGAATATGTGAAAAGTTTACGACAACAACAACAACGACGACGACGACAGACAACGGACAAATTTTGATCAGAAAAGCTCACATGAGCCTTCAGCTCAGGTGAGCTAAAAAGCGAGTAATTCTACTTCTCGTGAAATAACGCTATTGTTAATTCCTCGCGTATAATTAGGAATCTACAGTACCAATTCTGAAATAAAAAGTGTATAAGAGCAAGGTCAAATCTAAATTAATATTCCTTGTTAAAAACACTGATATGTTAACATTGCATGAAATATATTAAAGATATAACTAGCAGTTTCAAGCTATAAAAAACTCATTAAACAATTCAGAAAAGGAGCTTAGCAAACACGTACCTCCTAGACATCAGAGGTGGAATCATTTGTCATAGAGGAGTGATGATTCCCTGCGAGTAAATCTGCACAGTTTCGTTTTTTTTTCTTCCTTCGTGTGATTCAACTGACTAATACACGCTAATTAATGAAAAAATAATTCAGTTTATCAATGAAACAATCCTCCTCATAAGCCATGGTTTCTGATACTTATACCCTACTCTCTTCATAAGTCCGGGTTCTCGGCATACGGTGTTTAAAAAGTTTTTTTCTCATGTTGTGAATGGAGGCGATCGACATCGCTTGACGAATCGGCAATTTTGTTTCTTTTATTTTTTTTTTTTTATTATTATTATTATTTTTGTAAATGACAATATCTGCCTTCGGGACATATTTTGACTCTCCCCTCTCCGGAATAAAAACTGCAAGTAAACAACGATCACATGTTTCTCTATGAAAGGATATGATTTTGTCCAAAATCTTAAGATATAAGCAAAATATAAATCAAAATCTATATTGAAGATGTAGATTTGCACATTAAATGGCATGAAAAATCAATACCTTCTTTTTAATTATTCTGCCCCGTGGGAATCCGGGTTAGAATAGGTCCTCAGTACCCCATTGCTTGTCGTAAAAGGCGACTAAATAGGGGCGGTCCTTCAGATGAGACCGTATAAACTAAGGCCCCGTGTCACAGCAAGTGTGGCACGATAAAGATCCCTCCCTGCTCAATGGCCCTGAGTGCCGAGCATAGGCCTAAATTTGCAGCCCTTCACCACCGGCAATGGTGACGTCACCATATCAGTGAAATATTCTGGAGAGGGACATAAAACAGAAAACAATCAATCGATCAAACAAAACCTGTCAGTATTTAAATATACATATTTATTTCTGTTAATGACTTAATTTGTGAGTACCTGTTCAAAATTTGATATCAGGTGAAAAAACAATCCCGTCTTTTCACAGCACCGAATGCCAGACTGCGTGGATTATAAGGAGAGTAGCGTTTCAAAAGCCCTAAGCTAGCGAAGATGTTTAATGCATGTCAACTTTGGTATTAGTATTCCTAATGGATACCATTTTAACATTTATATATTAATATATAAATGGTGCCTGTTTTGTAGGGTAACATTTGAAATTATTATACTTTCATGTTAAATACTAAAATCTGATTGGTTTAGACGCAGTTAACAATCCGTTCGATTACCCTGAGCCTTAGCAACACACGTGACAACGGGTAACACAACGGTAATGCTACATGCGTGGAAATTATGCGCGTACGGTTCACCGTAGAATTCTCAAAACGTCAGTTGCGCGTTTGAAAGAACCGGAATTAACTTGACGTCAAAAAAAGCTTGCGTCCGATATAGCTTACTTGAAAACAACAAACGACAGACGATACATGCTTGTGAGTGTAGGAAACATGCTTGCGAGCCAGAAATAACGAAACTTTATATGATAAATGACTCTAATTCCAGTATCAAACAAACAATAAGGAGATTAGTGAACCGGTGAGTGTGAAAGCTTTCTATACATGAACTTAACTATTCTATCGACGGTTTTTTTTTTTTTTTTTTTTTTTTGCTGACGTCCTAAATCAATAAGACATTCAGTATAATAAAATAAATGGTGCCTGTTTTTTAGGGTAACATTTGAAATTGACACCCCTCGGAAAACCATTGTCAACCTCCGCTGACGCGTCGGTTGACAATGGTTTTCCTTGGGGTGTCAATTTCAAATGTTACCCTCAAAAACAGGCACCATTTATTAGCCGGGCTTATTGCTCAAAGAGCAATAGCCGGCTTATGGGATCCTGTTCAACTTCCTGTTCAAGCAGGATGTTGACCCAATAGTCGCCAAATTAAACTGACGTTCTGAAATATAGTGTATCTACTTGTAATCGCTGTTGAAACAATTTATACTCATAATCTGATTAATTAAATGTGAATATAAACTGTACTGTAATTATTATTGTGCAGTTATCAAAAATACATTTGTTCTTAGTAGAGAACTTTTAACAAATTCCTACGCATAGCCTGGTTCCCTGTCCCTGTTTTGCTTCGTTTACTCTGCCCTCGTCACTGCCTCGGCAATGGCGAGACAGGGTACCAGGCTAAATTTTCCACTCATTCGGCAAACCTAATCAGCCGAGGAGTCCCTAATGATGCAGGTGTAAGGCCTACACAGTGCCCCCCTAGACATCGCCAGATTTCGTTTCTGGAGATAAACAAAGAAGACGCCATATTACACAAGGTATTAGGTATACGCGATTGCGGTTTGGCGTTCTCCATGGTCAAATGATACAGCTGGTACAACGAAACTTATGCGGAAATCGGAGACTGCCGTACAATCTGACCACGTTTTAAAGTTTGTGTATGACAAAGATGCGCAGTTTATAAGGGGAATTGTGCAAGCCTCCATGCGAGACCGGAGCTACAGGTTACTGTAAGTTCATCCCATTTCTTTGAGATTTTTTGAAGAAAGAAAAGTTGTTTTTTTTTTAAGTCTTTGCCTTGCCAATGACCAAATAAATGGTTGACTACAGTATCTGAAGAAATTTTAAGGAGTTGAATGAATGTCATACAGACCTCTGCCTATGGCTGCTAAATCAAAGCTTTACAGTTTTATGTGAAGAATTAAAAATATATAGGAGTATGTGAAGAAATGTTGTAACTGTAAATGGAAGTAACTTTTCTCTATTATAATTTGTTCAATTATAAAGTATGAATTTAGACCCTCCAGCCCCTGCATGGGTTTTAGTTTCCAATTTGTATAGCCATAAAATGTCTTGGAGTTGTAAAAGGGGTTTTTGAAGAAAAGTAGCTTGCACCCCCATCTTCAATAGAACTCCATTTTTCATAATATTTATTTTTTTTTATCTCTTGAAGAAAAAAAAGATGTAGAGCAAGTTATTGAGTATATTGTTTCTCCAAGGATGAATCCAGGATATGTCTTTGTACTCTCATGTCATCCAGAACTTGTGGGTAATTTTCGTTTAGTATCATTGCATGCAGGAGAATATTCATTTGATTTGCACCAAAACATGACTGATTCTGTCAGGAAAATGGAAAGCTAGCCGAAAATTCTATGGCATGTCCTGTCGCACGACTGCTTTTTGTGCGTTTTCAAAGACTTGATATATCAATGGTGACTTTATTAATTCTAAACAACTTTTTCTTTCTCCGAGACGATTTGGGGTTTGGAAAAATTGTGTAATTTATGTATTTTGCAAAAAATTTACAAATAAATACCGTTTGACAGATTTTTAAACATAAAAACGAAAATCGGCAATAATGGGTACTCGGCAATAATGGGTGTACTCGCACGTTATATGTTTTATCCTGCCTATGCAATAAATCCAGAACAAACCTCTTTCCGAATTTCCTTGACTGAAAGTGTCTATGCAATGTCTTAATACATAATAATAAATTAATTTACAATTCTTTTTTTTTTTCTCTCTCCACAATTTTCAAGTTTCCATGTAAACATGCTTTTTACTTTTAAAATTGATAGTATCAGATAATATAAGTAAAATTCTAGGTGGTTATTTTTTTTTATTTTATTAGATTACTCGTGGTTCTAACTAAACAGTTGAACAGAGTACCTGTGAATGTGTAAATGGGATGGACAAATGTCACCATAAAGCCAGCATTCTTCTCTATGGGTAATTTATATGCAATTTATGTAATATGTAAATTCACTTGGTCTAGCTGTTTTAGGTATGCTTTACCAAATTTAATGTTTAATAGAAATTATTTCAAAACATGCACACCAATATATATACCCGTTATATACAAGTGTGCAGTTCACCATGTGACTGTAGGTAGCAGGGTACTATTCGTGCCCTGGAAGCATACTTGTAACTATAAAATCTAACTTTAGGCCCAAAGACTATAATATAACTTAGTAAATTTATGGAACATGTTGATACAGGTACAAAAATGTCAGCAAAACTGATGTACGCCAGAGTTGGATTAAGCATCCAGAGTGCGCCACCTCGTCAAACTAAGACGATGGAAGAACTTTTTCCTGCACCTGACAGGTTAATAAATTACAGGTATGCATTTATTATGACTGTTTCATGAATGGTGCAAAATATTAAAAAATGACAGTACCCCAAAAGTGAAAATATAAAAATAGAGAAATAGCATATTTTTATGGGCAATATACACTTTTTTCAATGGATGGAACTGTATCTCTCTGGTCGTCCATCCTAATTTTTTCAGACCAGCAAGCTACAGATCTGCAGCTAGCATGGTATATGTAAAACCATTCAGTGTTGTATTATGCTCCATTTTTCAACTTTTGTCAAAAATTGCTAGGGCAACAAATAGGCCAGTCAATGATAGGGACAGGGAGTTCCTATATCAGAAATTGACAACTGTAGGGAGATTTTCAGGTTAAATATCTGGTGTTTTATTTTAGTGTCACATTGTTTACGAATTTATTTTATTGTTACTTTTTTGAAAATTTATACTGTGATAGGATAGAATGCATATACACACATGTATATATATATATATATATATATATATATATATATATATATAAATTCACAAAACACCTAACTAACTCATTACACCCGGACTTTGGACTTCAGATATTTAATGGCTTATTTGACATTGGACTGAAATTCTGACAAGATGTGCAGTCTTTCCATTCTTTTTGCTTTTTTTGTCTTTTACATGTTTAGTTTTGTTCTTGTCTCTTTTGTTTTTGTGTTGACTTTGTTTTAAACTTTTAATTATACATTTATACTATCAATTTCAATTCAGTGTGAAGTTTTGCATCAAGTCACAATCTTTTTTGACAGATGCATTCAGCGTAAACAATTCATGTGATTGATAAACTCATATTATCAACCTTGACACAGAAATAGTTTGTTGTACAAGCAAACAATCAGGGATTAGAAGAAAGTTCCAGTCGTAAAGCTTGCGGTTAGGAGGCGTATACTATTTACCTTGAACGCATCTGTCAAACTAGAAGATCGTGACGTAATATAAAACTTCAACTCAACTGCAACCTTTAGTAAAATGTTTAAATATTATTCACCCTATTTCTCATACATACTTAAAGGAAGTTATTTGTACATTCTTTTCACATGTATACATATTGAAATCCAAAATTTATTTGAAGTAGTAAATAAAATAAGTTTGAAAAAATATTTAACATATATACCAGTATGAAGAATTGGTGATGTAACTGCAATACAGGTTTATTGAGTATTTGTTGTCTTTTTCACTGAGGGTTTAATTTTTTTGTTTAATTAAATCAACAGCAATGCATTGGCTACTATCCCCCGAGCCGCCTGTGCCCACACTTGCAGTGCCTCTAGTTGAAGACCTCATCTCTAGCCAGGAATTTATTTCTGCAGAGAATCCAATCGCTTGGATGAAGCAAAAATTAATGATAAATGAGCAAGAAATCCAACAGGTAAAGACAAATGAGTTGCATAATGAATAGATTGTATTCTGTTTCATTATGAATGTTGTTTAAGTTTTCAGATTTTTGTCATGTTTTAGATTGCCTGTCTTACCACTGGTCAAAAGGAAAATTGCATGTGGTCATCTGTTAGGAAGAATAGATTAACATCTTCAAACTTTGGTTGTGTTTTGGCAGCGATCAAGAGAAATAGGTATACTGGTAGTTTACATGCCTTTATATGTATATGTAATTATAAATGATACTTGTAAAAGCAGTTAATTATAAAATCAAAAATATTGAAAGTTTGCTCCTTATATAACAGATATCCTGTCTCCTTATACAAAAGATTATGCTCAGCTTATGATCTGTCAAAGAAGGATGCCATTATTTGGGGGACGTGCAATGAAAAAGTCGCAATTGAAAAGTATAGAACTTTTGGGGATGCAGTTGTAGAGCCAACAGGTTGGTACATTTCTTTCCTAAGCAAAATTTCAATTTCTTTAAAGCAAATAAAAATTGATGATAAATAAAAATTTTTCTTGAGCTAATTTATTTAAAATTCAGTTATTAAACTGAAGTTGAAGATAATGAATGTAAATATACTGTTTGTATATTCTATTTATAACAAGTCTTCAATGCATAAGAAAATCAGAGTGTTGCATATTAATGCTATTTTGAAACTTTATAATACTGTTCATATTAGGTATCTGGCTACACTGTAATGGGGTTCTTGGGTCAAGCCCCGATGGACTCATTCGTCGTTCTGCTGCATTCGGATTCAGCTATCAGAATCCAGGACTTGCTGACATATTAGAGATGTCAAACGTTAAGCCAGAAATACTGGAGGTGAAATGCCCCTTTTCAGCAAAGAATATGACAATTCCAGAAGCTATTGAAAAAGTACACGATTTCTGCCTAGGTAATAATAGTGTGTATGTATTTGTTTGAATACGTTTCATGTACTGAGATATTACTTTAAATAATTCAATATATTAGTTTGGATAAATTTAAGTACAATTTAGCAATTGTTAAAAAAGTTTTTTTCCTTCTGTTGTAATGTTAGTCCACAAAGCAGATGATTTGCCTTCTCACTTTATTGTACAGTAAGGAACAAAATACTTATACATGTAAATATTTATTAGTTAAATAGTTTTGTCTTATATTAATGATTGAGGCACCAATGAAAATTCTTATTCTTTAAAAATCTTCAACATATATATTTTTTTCATATAGAGGTTCAGGATTTTAATGGAGTCAAGTCCTTCAAGCTATGAGAGAACCACCAATACTATGATCAAGTGCAAGGACAGCTTCATATAATTGGTAAATCCTTGTGTGATTTTATGGTCTGGACACCAAAAGACTGTGCGATTGTGAGAATTAACAAAGACATCAATTGGGAGATCAACATATCTGTTTTGACAGACTTTTATTTCTGTAAATTTCTCCCGTATTTACAACAGCTATAAGATATAACATTAAACATGGTGAAAACATTTTAATTTTAATATCTTAGATATCTACACTTGCAAAATTCTGAGCAATTCCCTGCATAAGGGGATCCTGAAAATTGATTAAAACACAGCATGATTGAAAGACTTTTGTAGAAATATATCTAAATTGCTGCAGAACATGCCTTGAAATTTCATAATTCTTAATACCCTCATTTGCTCTTTCAACATGTATGCGTGACTTAGCAATTCTTCGACATAGTTGGACCTCACTGGAAAGGGAGGAATATTTAGATGTACTCCTTGGGGGCAACAACTTGTGAATAGTGAACCCTTTGTCTGCTAAGATCATATCACCTGGAGATAACTGTTCTAAGACTTTACAATGTTCTACAATTGCAACATCAGATGTGCTGCCAGGGTGCAATTTAGTAATAAATACCAAAGCACCATTAGGTGCAACACCGTTAACACTTTTAACAGTGTGAGAATTTTTGTATCCGCTGTATGTGCTGGCCTGCAATCTCATATCATTCCCTGGAACATCCTGGGTGATTTCTGTTGCATCAAGTACTATTCTACATGAACTAAAATCCCCAAAACTTGTAGGCATAGACCCTTGCACATTCGTCATGAAATTTTGTGGATGTAATGATTAGGTTCTTTAATTGTGCTCATTGGATTTAAAAATTCGAAGCTTTTATTAGTTTCCATGGAAAGGGGGGAAAAGTCAAAATTCTTGAACTTCGATTTTTAAATCAAAGTACTGAAAGTATAGATAGGTTTGATGGTTGTCCAAGTCTGAGTTCTAGAAAAATGTCCATCCAATTGAGCTAAAACCTTTTTAAGGCTAATAGGCATGTTGTGTAGATGTATGGAACAAAGGTCATTTTGTGTGCATACGCATTTACGTGCGGATGCGTGCAACATTAAATGACTTGTATACTGAATATTGCTTTAACTTTTACACTTTTTTGATGAAATGCTCATTTCATAAGGATATTATATAAGGATATATTAATAGTGTAGATAATATGACATTGTCAGATTAGCACGAAATGATGTGCATGCACGTGCACTTTGCTCTGATTGGCTGAAACAAAAATTTTAATATCTCTTTCTTTTTTGATGAAATACATTGAAATTTTAAATAAGTCGTGCATTACGACAAGTCATGCATTACTACAATATGATATATAACAATAATCATGAAAACATGTGCATGCATGTGCACTGCAATCTGATTGGCTAAAACTTTAAATGGCTATAATTACTCTAGTTTTGAACCAAACAGGATGGGATTTATAACTTGCATATACATGCACATGCGCTTAGCTCCGATTTTAAAATCAAAGTACCGAAAGGACTGATACGAGTTGATGGTTGTCCAAGCTTAGCTAATGGGCATAGTATTACTGATGACAAAATGAAAATTCTCCAATTCGGGAAACATACGCTATTGCTTGCAATAGCAGACTTTCTTGTCATTATGTCGTCCCGAACGAAGTTTGGGACGACATATTGCGATTGTATGCATGTTTAAATACATCCTCAGTGTATCAGTAATATGATCATTTTTCTGCTAACTGTTGTTGTTGAAACGCAGGTAACAAAATTCGATGATAATCAGCATGCACAAAATTTTGCTGGCTAACTGTGACCTCTTAGCTTCGGACGTAGGAAATATTGATCCTTAGTAGTGCCTGACGCCATGGCATAAGGCAAGAAAAAAAATGCTCAATAACAATAAAGAACTAGTATATAAAGCTCAAAAATAAAAAGATAAAATCACCCTTATACTTCATCAAAGTTAAACCTATTGTTCTTATATAAAATTTAATGATGCTTTTTCCTGCGCTGCATCTAATAATTCCTTATATCATTCATACTTTAACTGAAACCTGTTCTTTTCACCTGTGTGCTGGTCTTAAGCCCGGCTTTCAGTACTTTCAGTACTTTGATATATTGACACCCCAAGGAAAACCATTGTCAACCGACGCGTCAGCGGAGGTTGACAATGGTTTTCCGAGGGGTGTCAATTTCAAATGTTACCCTACAAAACAGGCACCATTTATTTTATTATACTGAATGTCTTATTGATTTAGGAAGTCAGCAAAAAAAACCGTCGATCGTCTTTACGTTCATGCATAGAAAGCTTTCACACTCACCGGTTCACTAATCTCCTTATTGTTTGTTTGATACTCGAATTCGAGTCATTTATCATAATTATAAAGTTTCGTTATTTCTGGCTCGCAAGCATGTTTCCTACACTCGCAAGCATGTATCGTCTGTCGTTTGTTGTTTTCAAGTAAGCTATATCGGACGCAAGCTTTTATTGACGTCAAGTTAATCCCGGTTCTTTCAAACGCGCAACTGACGTTTTGAGAATTCTACGGTGAACCGTACGCGCATAATTTCCACGCATGTGGCATTACCGTTGTGTTACCCGTTGTCACGCGTGTTGCTAAGGCTCAGGGTAATCGAACGGATTGTTAACTGCGTCTAAACCAATCAGATTTTAGTATTTAACATGAAAGTATAATAATAGTAAATGACCCGAAAAAAAACTTTACAATCAAAAAATATATTCATTGTCATTGAAACCACAGGTTTTCCTTACTTAGCTTAGATTGTAAAGTCATTGTTCAAATGCTAGGGCTGTCACGGGTACCCGAAATGACCCGGAACCGCGGAACAATTAATTCGGGACGGGTACGGTTCCGTTTTTCCGGAATTCGGTTCGGGTCCGATATGTATAACAGAGTATAGATTTTACTATAAAAATGGCGTCAAAAACGAGAGATTAGTTAGTACATTGTCATAAAATTTTAAAATGGCAGGAAAAAAATAAATTTACCTTCCATGTTGGCCTATAAGATTGACATTGAACAGACAGAATGGCCGATTATCTTCTGTACGTAAAGGCCAGTCGTATATTTTTCCCCCGTTTAGATCCGATTGTTTTTCTCTACTTTCTGCAACTGCCGATTCAATCAGCCAATGACATTTTGGTATAAATAGATCTTGACAAAATACTCTATAATTTTATTGCCAAACCCATCTGCAAGGAGCATAAAAGTAGTGATGAGTGTTTAAAACATCGAAGGAAACCATACCATGTTGTTTTTTTACCGCCATGATTGAATATGGGGTCGGACTAATAGCAGGAAACGGACAATGTTGCAAAGTTTTACAAAGGGAAAAAATTAGTCTAGGTAATCTTTAAACATGATTATACATTGAATATCATTAGAGATACAAGTCTTATTTTTGGATTACTATTTTTAAAAATTATATTCCCAAGAAATAAATACATGTACAAGTAAGAAAAGGTGGGACTAATATAAGTTAAATACCCATTGAATGGAATTAAAAAAAAACAATCCCCATGCTGTTTCAATATATTAATTTTGTTTAAAAGAAAACAAAATAATATTTCCACCTTATTAAAAGGAAAGTTAATATTCATATTTGAATATTTTATGTAATAAAATGACTATTTTGTAAAAGTCTTGACTAACAGAAATCTGAGTTAGTTTAACTTTTCTATTGGCCTATAATTTTAGGAAGTTTAGGACAGAATGGCCTATAACTTTTCTGGTAAATATGCCAGATGTCCTATAGTTACTGAAAAATTATTTCAATTTGAAACCCTGAAAGGTGATTTAAATAGTTTGGTACAATTGTTGTCTAGTCAGGAGGCTACTTTAAACTAGTTATAATGTTGCAATTTCTAAGATTAAATGTGGAAATAATACAAATCATGAGCTTTTCTTCCATTACCTACCCGACCCGAGAAACCCGAAACCGAACCTAAAAAAATCAGAACCGACCCGACCCGAAAAATTTTGGAACCGTGACAGCCCTACCAAATGCTAAAGCTAGTTTCTATCATTGCCTATAAGAATCATACTCATCAGAATTTTCGTCGATCGAATTCTAAGCATTTTGAGAAAAAAATTATAAAACTATTTAAAGGTGTATATTTTCATTTGCTAATAAGTGACCATTTGGGCATTTCAATGGTGGCCATCTGAAAAGAGAAATGAATAAGTAAAAGTGCTATCACTTTTTATTTTCCTGTTTGTCTGTTTTTCTGTCTGTCTGTTCAACTTTAATCTAATCTGTATCTATTAAGTGGACGGGGCTATGACTTTCATATTTCATAGTTGTGTTTCTTGTGACAAGACCTTTCCTTTGGGTACAATCAACTTGACCTTTTGACCTTGGAGTTTGTCTTACTTGTACAAAACAAAATACCACACTTTAACCTTGGTCATAACTTTTGAACAGTTGGAGCTAGGGCTTTCATACTTAACATGTGTATTTATTGTGACAAGATATTTCAGCTGGTATAAATAATGTAGACTGGCAAATAATCAAGATGGTTTTAATTTTGTTTTGTTCGCGATTTATCATTTTTCCACGAAATTAAATGCATCGTGAAAGCTAGAATTATGCCTTTTTTAAAGTTTAAATGTTTATACAAATTTTGAATTCGTTTCTTGCAGCGTGAAATTAAAACTATCGCAATCGGTACTTTTGAGATATCGTGAAATTTTAACTTTGTGGTATTAAAACAATTTACTTATCCGGTGATGTCCCTACATTCGAAATTGTTTTTCCGACCTCCGACGGAAAGGCGTATACCGCGAGATGCGATCGATTTAATACATGTAGGTTATTCTATGATCGAAACACTTGGAGAAAGGAACAACATTCAAGATCAAACGTCCACTAAACAATACAAAACAGGAGCAGTTGAGCCAACACGGACCACCAAAACATCAGAGGTGGGATCAGGTGCCACTGGAGGAGTGAGCATCCCCTGCCGACCGGTCACACTCACCGTTTGCTCTTTGTCATGATCGGGAAAAATGGGGGGAAAAACCTTTTTTTTTGGTTTAGCCCCTTTCAATAAGTCACCCCACTTTATGGTTATAAACTTGCTAACACTGGACAATTAATTAATAAGATATAGTTCAAATATATCTTAATATATATTCAAATACATCAATACATTTCATTTCAGTTTTTTTTCTGAATACAAT